TCAAAGAAATACAAAGTTTATCAGAGATTTCTATGTACACCTGTATGGAAACAAACTTGATAATCTAAATGAAATGGAGAACATTCTGACATCACACAACCTCCCAAGGTCGAAACAAGAAGAAATTGAAACCCTAAATAGACCAATAACAAACCAGGAAACTGACTTTGTTATAAGAAAATTACCTACAAAAAAAAAAGCCCTGGATCAGATGGCTTTCCAGCAGAATTCTACAAAATATACAAGGAAGAGTTTATACCAATCCTATTGAAAGTATACCAGGCAACTGAGAAAGATGGAACTCTCACCAAATCATTTATGAAGCTAACATCACACTGATACCCAAACCGGGTAAAGATCCAACAAAGAAAGAGAACTACAGGTCAATATCCCTAATGAACATAGTTGCAAAAATTCTCAAAAAGATTCTAGCAAACTGGATCCAATAACACTTCTCAAAAACCATCCATCATGACTAAGTAGGCTTCACCCTGGGATGTAGCACTGGTTCAACATCTACAAGACCATAAATGTAATTAAATACATTGACAGATGTAAAAACAAGAACCACATGTTTATATCATTAGATGCAGAAAAAGCTTTCCATAAAAACCAGCATAAAAACCCTTGCATGCCTAGGCATAGATGGAACATACATCAAAATAGTAAGCACCATCTATGATAAACCCACAGCCAAAATACTGCAAAACAGACAGAAATTGCCAGCATTTGCCCTCAAAACCAGAACAAGACAAGGCTGCCCACTCTCCTCCCTCCAATTCTACATAGTGTTGCAAGTCCCAGCTAGAGCAATCCGACAAGAAAAGAAAATCAGGGGTATCCAAATAAGTTATTCCTCTTTGCTGATTATATGATCCCATACCTTGAAAATCCAAGAGAATCTGTCAAAACTTTATTTGCACTGATAAAGGACTATGTCAATGTCTCAGACTACAAAATAAATGTGTAAAAGACAGTCGCATACTTATACACCATTGACAAACAGGCAGAGAACCAAATATAAAGCACAGTCCCTTTCACAATTGCCACACAGAAAGAAAGAAAGAAAGAAAGAAAGAAAGAAAGAAAGAAAGAAAGAAAGAAAGAAAGAAAGAAAGAAAGAAAGACCTTAGCATCTTCCTAACCAGAGAAGTAAAATACCTTTACAATGGAAACTACAAAACACTGCTCAAAGAAATCAAAGAACATACAAACAAATGGAAAAATATTCCATGATTCATGGATTGGAAGAATCTACATTATTAAGATGATCATCCTACCAAAGGCGCAATCCATAGCAAAGAAACAAAATGGGAGGGATCACACTTCCAGACTTTAAACTTACTATAAGGCTATAATAATCAAAACAGCCTGGGATTGGTAGAAGAACAGGCATATGGACCAATGGGACAGGCTAGAGATTCCAAGAGCAAAACCTAGTTTCTCAACCAATTCATCTTCAATAAAGCCTCCACCAACAACAACTGAGGAGAGGAGAACCTATTCAATAAATAGTACTGAGAAAACTGACCACATGCGGAATTTTGAAACAGAACCCCTACCAATCACCATACACAAAAATCAACTGTAAATGGATCAAAGACCTAAATGCATAACCTCAAGCTATAAAAATCTTGGAAAATGCAGGAGACGCCCTTATGGAAATTGGAATAGGCAAATAATTCCTGATCAAACCCTCGAATTCCCATGCCATAAGAGATAAGATAAACAAAGGAGACTTTATCAAACTGAAAAATTTCTGCAAGGCAGAAGAAACCATCAAGAGAGTGGGGAGACAGTCAAACAAATAGGAAAAAAATATTTGCCAACTGTATATCTGACAAAGGCCTAACATGCAGGGTCTATAACAAACTCAAATGAGCAGAAAGAAAAAAAAAAAAAAACCAGCCCTATTAAAAAGTGGGCAAATGATATAAATAGATACTTCTCAAAAGAAGACATAGGAACAGTCAACTGATACATGAAAAAGTATCACCAGAGAATTTCAAATCACAACCACTCTGAGATATCACCTAACTCAAGTCAGGATGGCCATCATCAATAACTCAAAAAACAACAGCTGCTAGAGAAGATGCAGAGAAAATGGAATATGTAACACATCTACAATGTTAGTGAGAGTATATACTAGTGCAATCTCTGTGGAAAACAGTGTGGCAATTCCTAAAAGTTCTAAAAATAGACCGTTCATACAACCCGGCAATACTCCTTCTGAGAATATACCTGGAGGAACTCAAATCATTCTATAAAAAAGATACCTGCACAGACATGTTTATTGCAATATTATTCACAGTAGCAAAAACATGGAATCAACCATGCTACCCATCAAAAGTGGACTGGATTAACAAAATGTGGTACATACACAATGGAATATTGCACAGTCATAAGGAAGGTCAAAAGTATGGACTTCGCAGCAACCTGGATGGATTTAGAGTCTATAATACTCAGTGATCTATCACAGAAACAAAAAACTGAGTACCACATGTTCTCACTCATAAGCAAATCCTGAACATTTATCATAATAGTGTAAGAAAGGGACTGGCAGTACTGGGAAACTGCCAGGGAATAGAAGGGGTGGATAAATATCAATGAGGGTAATTGATTTCAAACCAGGCAATTTGGGGACCAAAGGGAGGACCAAACTTTACCTGTACTTTGACCACTTATGTACCTAATCCTGAAATGCACCTCACATTCAAAATATATACATACATATGACACAATGGAGTAAGTTCACATGCAAGTTGGTAAAATAAAATAGCCCCATATGGTACAGTCATACAGAGATAGTGAATAGAGAATTTGTGGAGTGATTGCACATTAAAATTAACTAAATTAGTGTACAGATATTATTAAAAAAAACTATATCTAACAAAATATATTTTGGATGAATGAATTAAAACTTCTGTAAAAACCAGTATAAGAACTTCTTAAAAGCATTTAATAATTATGAGGATATCTAAATATTATAAAGTGATACTAGCTCCAATGGTTTAGTATTATTTTTAAATTGTAACTTAGAAATATCTGCATGTTATAAGGGAAAAATTTACTTAATAATTATATTATAATTGCATTACTTTGATATCAGCATTTTAAGATAATTATAAAGCAGGGACTACATTTTCAATAGCAAATATTTTACATATCTATTTGAAATATTTACTTATATACTTAATCTTTACTACATAACAAATTTGTGAGTCTATACTTTCTTTAAAAAATTAGAACAAATTTAGATTCTACTACAGAGAAATAGGTTAAACTAATGGTTTCTAGTCACAATTACAAAATAATGCTTATTCAAAAGGAATAACATCCATAATAATAATTACTAATAGATAGCTATGGCATATTAAGTTCTTTGCATACATAATCTTATTTGAACTTTCAAACAATCCTGAGAAGCAGCTAAAATGCATATTTATTCTTTAAAAAATCCAATATCACTACCTTCAAAGTACTCCTGTGTACAGGTTAGTTTGGCAAATCAACAACAGTACACTAAGAGAATAGAAGTGTTCCTTTAGAGGGAAAATCAAAAATAATGACAGAGTCAAAGAGTGGTGGTTCATCATTAATACACTTAGGTGATTCATGAACCAATGAATGAAGGGTAAGTCTAAAGGTAGGAGGAAATAAAGTTGGAAGGGATATCTAGAGTTTTACTGAGAAAAGCAAGCAATGATTTTGGACTGATCTAAAGGGACCCTGGGAACTATCACAAGCAGAGCAATCAACTCAGAGTGGACAGTTCTATGGAAAAAGGAAGCAGCACCCTCAAAGTATAGATCAACCTCTTGGTGCAGAGAACTCTGTAGGAGTTGGTAGAGTCAGTGTGAGGATAGCAGGCAGGCAAAGATGTATCTGGGTGGAAGGTTGGTAGATGAAGAATGGATTTTAAGCAGAGAAGAGATGGATCTCTAAATGTTTGTAAAGTCACTCAAGAATCATTTTGGAGGATGGGTTAGAAGAAGACTAGACTGGAGGTAGCATTATGAGTCAAGATGTACTTGAAGTCATCCTGGTGAAAAAAATAGTGAGGGTCTAAAACATGACAGCAGCATTGCGAAATGGAGCAAAGGAATCCATCTAAAGATCTTATGATAATCAAAAGAGAATTATTGGTTACAAAGGTTGGATCAGGTAATTTATTGTGAGAAATTTGGCTCTCCTAACATGAATAAATACTGGGGAGGAGTGTACACAGATTTTATAACAGTATTTGTTCAGTCACACTCATTAAGTTTTCCCACATTTAATTTGTTTCATTTTTTATAAATGGAGTCCTGCTATCTTGCCCAGGCTTGTCTTGAACTCCTGGCCTCAAGCAATCCTCCCACCTCAGTCTCCTGAGTAGCTAGGATTACAAGCATGAGTCACTATACCTGGCTACTTTTTTCATATTTGTAAATAATTCATTCAGCATAAAGGAAATATAAATCTTTTAAAATTTAATCTTCACTTCTAGGGAATTCAATGGACATACAAAACCCACAACAAGAGGGTTACCAAAACAACACTACAATAGTTCATCTCTGTAGTCAGTGAAGTACTGGATTTATTTGGTGGTTCCCTTTTCTCATTAGCACCTACATAATTTGTGGAATAAGGTCAATAGTAATCCCTCATCACAAGCACAGAATATTGGACACGTTGCACATTTTTCTATTCTCTCACAGAATATAGTCTCCACACTACAATTCAGTTCATCAGATTGTGGAGGAGGATACCTTTGCAATGGGGACAATTTTCTGAGAACAATTTATACTGTGTTTATTATAGTGCACTTTTTCTTTTTTGCCTTGCTCCAAAACAAAGTTATTTTTATAAATCTGAGATGTCACCATCTTCAGAAGCTACTTCAGCAAAGACATAATTCATCTCCAAAAAGTGTTGAAACATCTCACTGCATTTTAAAATTGATTAAATTTGCAAGAGAATAGAATGACAAAGAGAACAAAATAGAGATGATTACTTACGAACTGGCAACGTCTGGAAGATTTCTATTTTACTGTAGTCTCCTTGCCCCTTTCCATTAACAGCTGCAACTCTGATTTCATAAGTTGTATTTGGTTCCAGGTTGCTCAAAACAACCATTGCTAGAAGAAAAATATATATACATATATCTATGTTTAATGCATTTTAATAAGGAAAACAAGTCAACCTATTACAATGCTGAGTGAATAATTCCACTGTAAAGTTTTCTGTGACACCTGAAAACATAGAAAAGTCATATGTGAAAATGATCTGTGGACAGTCCTCTTCTTCACCTCTACTCTAGCTCTCCAACTCTGCACAATAACTTTCAAAGAAGAAAATCAACACTCGTCTGTGATACCTACATTCACAAAGTAGAAAGAAAAACATTTTCTTTTCATCTTTTCAATAGCCAAGAAATAAGAATGGCATGAATAAAACATATTTTCTGTATGTTTTCCAAGTATTTTATCTACTCAAAATAGATTATTTCTATTGAATTTAATAAAGACATGGAATTTGATGTATAGAAGACTGGCCTTCAGTGTAAGATGTTTTAGTCATGTCAAAGAAACATCACAAAGTTGAAAATACAGCAAAACTAGATCATTTTATAATATTAAATCAAATCAAAGTATTTTTATTCCAGCTTGAGGCATTCTCATAACTTATACATTCTCTGAATTTCTTCTTAATTATATACTATAGCAGAACTGGATTCAATAAGACACAAAAGAGGGAAAGATTTTGAAAAGATACACAGCAAATGGTTATTAGAAACATATTCTACATTGCTGGTGGGAATGCAAACTAGTGCAACCTCTTTGGAAGACAGAGTGGCGATATCTGAAAGAACTAAAAATTGACCTTCCATATGACCCAGCAATCCCCCTATTAGGAATATACCCGGAGGAACTCAAGTGATTCTACCAAAAAGATAACCGCAAACACATGTTTGTCGCAGCTCTATTCACAATAGCAAAAACATGGAACCAACCATGCTGCCCATGGAAGCTGGACTGCATAAAAAAAAAAAAAAAAGTGGTACATATACACATTAGACTATTATGCAGCCATAAAGAAGGACAAACATATGGACTTTGCAGCAACTTGGATGGATTTAGAGTCAATCATTCTCAGTGATCTATCACAGAAACAAAGAGCAGAATACCATATGTTCTCACTCATAAGCAGACCTTGAACAATTATCATAATATTATAAGAAAGGGATTGGCAGTTGGGGGAAACTGCCAGGGGATGGAGGGGCATGCCTCATCAACAAGGGTAACTGCACAATGAACGTTTGTGTACCTAACCTGAATTGTACCCCACATTTAAAATTAAAAAAAAAAGAAATGTATCTAGAGTGATGTCAACCCTTGTCATTTTACCCTTGATCATTTTAAATGCAATTGTATATTTCAAATTATTAAATCTTCACAAAGTTGTCCAGAGGAGTTGATAAAATTTCATAGTTGCCACTATCCTTAACTGCAAAATTTTCACTATTGGAAAGAGAAATGTTGTAATGACAATCAAAAGGAAGTTATGTCTGGTTTACAAAATAACTCCAAATCAAATAATTAATTCATAGTAGAAAATATATAAAAATTAAATTATAAGTAATTAGAAACATACACAGGGCTATTGTTTTACACAAACCATCACTGAAAATGATTTACATTCAATAAAATTCTATTTTATTAATATATTATTTCTGATAGTTACATTATGATATAGATTCACTAGATGACAGTTTTCATTCTATATTTTTCAAGGATACCTATATATAAGCTTTAATACTTTTGTTCCATTCTTTTCCTCAATACTCATAATCCCGGTATCTTTTTAGTTTTCTGGATATCAACCATGCATTATTTAACATTGAATTATTTGTAACATTTTAAAAAGTTTTTAAATGCACTGTGGACAAGTTTTCTGTGTCTAAATTGCAGGGATAAAACATATGTAAATTACATAATACCAGGTAAATATTAGTGGTCAAAATTCATAGCCCAGATATCAACCATACTTTATTTAATCTCATGCAGTTTGTTTTAAAACCAACAAAAAAAGATACATTTCCAACTGACAAAATTTACATTGTATTTCTCAATTTCCCTACCTTATAACAAAACTGAATTTGCTTTTGAGAGTACAACACCTTGTCAAAGCCTCAGATTATAATGCATGAGCTTAGATTTAAGGGAATCTGATTGGGAAAAGATCAATTGACATAGAAATATAACTTATTAGAAGCTGCAAGAGTAAATGGCAAAATAAGGCTTGAAATCAATGATTTATGACAGGCTGTTGACGTGGTTCACAAAACCCATATCCAGTTGGTAACCAGGAGTCAATATGCATATAATTTCAGTTCCAGAAAAGAATGTAATTACAACGAGAAGAAGTTAAGTGCATGGACCTGGTCATACAGATTATGGAAAGGAAGAAGGAAATTAAACTAAGAGTTAGTTAAAATGATAATAAGTTGGCATTTTATTGTCCTTAAGAGAAAACGCTTTTGCTCAAAGTCTGCATAACAAGTAAGGTAAGAATTAAAAATTCATATTTTATCAATTTAATCAGTTAAGTAATACAAGAATATTGAAACCAAAGTGAACTAGGCTCATAAACTCCCATGATACAGCTAGTCATATTTCATTAGGGTGAAGGAAAGTATAATGGAACACTGATTGCTTCATCACATATCATTGACTGTCCAAAACCATTTTTTGTCATAAGCCTTGAAAAAATAAATATGCTTTTATAAAACAGACAACTTTGATATGCGATATGACTTTCCATATTTCTGCAATATCAAGATGTAGCAACCATTATTTTAAAAGCATGCAGTAGACTGTAACTTGGCTGTGTGGTTGAGGGCAACTAGTAATGCTTATATTCAACTATTTGTCTTATACAATTTTTTAAAAAGCAACAGAATTTTAAGCACACAATTTCAAATGCAAATAAAATTCTACATAAATCAGAAGTGTGGGGATCATGTTCTAGATATAGTCTCTTCATCTTTTTTGGTTAAAAATGGGTAACAACTAAGCTATCAGAGTACCAGAGCATATATAATAAGAGGAAACAATAAAGTTTGAACTTACAGTAAAGACAACTCTCCCCTCACCAAGGAAAAATAACAACAACAAAACACTCCACCTTAAGGATGTTTGAATTATCCAAATATTTCAGGCTAAAGCACTTTCTGGCTTGGATTGTCAGTGCTCCTCTTTCTCAAACACTTCACAGGGGCTGTGAGGAGCTTTGAGTTCCCACTACCTCTGTCAAGGGAAAATCCATTTCATTAGCCACATTATGATAAATTCAGAATATTAGCTACATTGTGATAAATTCAGAATGGTTTTTCCACATTTCCTACACTTTTCTGTTTTAAGTGTCAAGGTTTTCCCACGCTCTGACTGAGTTTCACATTAGAGCAGTTGGCAGAGGAGAGGAGCAAAGAGGGCATAATGATGACTAAACTGTTATGAGGATGCTGGGCTAACAGGTAATGTGCACAAGGGGAGGTCTTATAGATGACCTTCAAAATTATAGAAAAGAAGTATGAAAGTAAACCTATTGATGCAAGCCTTACAAGGTTTATATACAAGAAGTCAGTGTGTTTTTGAGTTCTGACTATAAACGTTTTGGTACAATAACCCTTCTTTTAAGGCTTATTAATATTATGTGCACAAAAAGATTATTGTGGGAAGTAGAAAGAACTCCATAAAGTGAGACTAAATTAAAGAGAGGAAAAGGAAAAGATACGGGGAGGCAATGCCTGGATCTATAATTTGACCTGCCTTTCTTAAATGAGAGGATATGTATATTAAACCATCTGCAATTTACCGGCATATTACCAAACACAGGGTTTTTAACATCCAAGGTTCGACCAGAAAGCAAACTACCACTTACAAAATGAAAGGCGGTGTACCCTATAATAGAGTTGTACCTCAAATTATGAAGTTGGTTAATAGACTTTCTTTCTCTAAATGTGCCCACAGAATAGAAAAATAGAATCACAAGTTGAGGTGTAGGATGGGTTTTTGCCCTATAATTTATTAGAAATTCAAACTCCAAAATTAGGTGAAAATAGATCTAGATCACAAACTATAAAAGTTTTCTAAGGAAAAATGGTATAAATTAAGATACTTTACAGCTATAGTTATATGGAAATCATAATGCAAATTTTCTGAAAATTATAAATAATCATGAACTTTTCATTGAAATGGCAACAGAAATGAGTTCCATAAAGAACTTGTTTCCCTCACAAAATATGTTTCTGTTTGACTCACATGTTATTGAGTTTTACAAATAACCATTTCTCACCTGGCTATAATTGCGGAAGTATAACAAGACATTGAGATACAATAAAACAATTGCATTTAAACTGGGAAATGACAGAAAAATACAGACTTTTTATATTTTAGAAATTTGGAAATAATCATACTAAAAAGAAAAATTTTAAATTTTCTTCTCTTTTTTACTAGAAAATCGAACTCTATTAAAGTGAACTATACAAAATAAACTTTTGTTTGTTCCTATAATGTACTAAAACTCCCTTCCCTTTGGTTGTTAAGAGAAGCAGGTACTAGAGAACGTTTACAAAACTTGGAATAACAGGAACAAAAACCATTATATTTGGTAACTAATTAGACTGAGAAAAATACCAAAGTAAGATTACATTTAGGGCTGCTACTCAGGGTAAGCAGGAGAGGTCTCACTTGCTGTAAAACTGCTGTATCACTTGCCTAAAATGGACCTGTTCATGTTGTCATGAACTGTGAAACAATTCCGAGAGCTATGAGAAATCATGAAACTTAGCTAGTGTAGAAATGATCATTCAAAATCACACCTGTTGTTAATTTCCTCAGATAAATCAGAAAATACAGTGAAGTCTCTGAAGTTTCCCACCTAAGACTAAGTTTTTGCTCTGTAAACAATTAAATCAAACCCAAACAGGTGTTTTTGTTTTTGTTTTTGTTTAAGAGAGAAAATCCCCTGACTTGTTTCTGCAGGAGTTTGCAACAGGCTTAATGAAAATACATTTTTGCCCAGCACAGTGGACCGCACCTGTAATCCTTGCACTTTGGGAAGTGAAGGTGAGAAG